ATGAACCACCATAACTACCTAATTTGTATTATGACGCCTCTCTTGGGTATAAGATATTAAAAACACTAACATATTATACTTTTTAAACAACCACTAAAATACGAAGATATGCAAGTGCGAGCCCTGCATTATAACATATATTTAAAACTGTACATGCGTACGCCTAAGTTCGTTGTCATATTACTCTGCAGTCAACCTGCTTCCCTGGTAATAATTTATTATGTAAAATTTATAGGATGATTTATCGGACGTTTTTGATACTTATTATTTCTTTCGTTATGTCCACTGTATAGTATAGGGGTATACAAAGTATATTATAGTATCTATAATACGAATTTCATAAATTAAAAATTAATTTTTTTCCGGTTTCTATTTCATTAATACTTTTATAGCTTCAAACAGAAACTTTTTAGACTGCCTTATCTCGGTGTCGTTGACCATAATATGTGATCGTAGGCCTGTGTAATTATTACTCTATAAATACAGCATTTAAAAAATAATTTGATATAAGATATTTCCATTGAATAAATTATAAAACACAAAGGACAGCTGTTTAGAAGTTATATTCCTAAAAATTAAGTTTGCAAGTTACATTTACAAAGGATTATGCTTTTCATAGCGGATTTAGTTTAGTGACTTTCTCACTTCCACTAACATTTTCTTAATTCTCAGACGCATAACCATTAACTTATTACTCATAACTCGAAGTCATAAACGTAAAGGCCGTGTAAGTTTACGTTAATTTACAAATAGATTTTAACATCGATATTTTTAACCTGAGGGTGACAAAATTTGCATGGACATTTTTCTATCATCGTCGCGAAATCTGTTACATTCTATTTATTTATTAAAATGTAACCTAGTAACCCAGTTTCCTAGAACATAAAACGTATAATAATATCTTATCAATAAGGTTTTATCGAATATCCAGGGAATGGGCAATGTAAAAATGCTAAAAACATATCCATTTTTTAATGTTTTTCTTTTTAGAGGACAAAATATAAGTTTTTGTTTTGTGTATAAATTGGCACTAAAGAGCTTTTCTATTCTGTTTTGGCGTTTCTCCAAAAAACTATAACAGCATGAAAATCAAACTGAAAAACTAGAATATAATAATAAAAACAATATTATAGTATATAGTTTAATATACCTAACTTGTAACCACTGTTGAGTATACATTTAATTATTTAAATCTATTAAAATAGAAAATAAAAAAAATGATTTTAGGATCAATCAACTATAAACTAAATTCTACTGCTATTGTTAAAATAAGTTTTCAAAAATTATTTATATACTTACTGTATTTCCAGTATATAACAATTTCTTATAGCATATTTTAATCATTTACTTTAGATGTTAAAATAAATAAACTAATTCAAAATTAAATAAATGAATTTAAGTTAGCTTATTTTAATATTTAAAATATTAATTTTATATAATCTATAAGCTATTTTATATTTTTAACTGGAATACTTTTAATTAGTTTTAAATTACCATCATCAATTGATAACTTACTTTTATGTTAAACCTATTATACTACAAAGATTTTTTTTTTATTAATTACATTAGTATATAAAGTATAGTTACTATATGATCATAATTGAGTTTACAATATCAACAGTGTATAAAAGACAATTCCATTAAAATAAAATAAAATAAAGATATTTCAATATAATATTACAAGGTTTACAACATACACATAAGAATATTATATAACTTACATAAATGTATGCTCAACTTGCAAAGTGTCAATCGCGTCTTTTTTTTTTACATGGAAGCATAATAATTATTCTAAAAATATATGATAGGTACCAATTTTTTTTCTCTAAAATCAATGGGTTTAAAATTAAAAACAGTTTAAAAATATTTTAAATAAAATTGTTTATAATAGAAAATAATAATTTTTTTTAAACGTTACAATGTTTGTAGCATTAATATTATGTTTGCTAAACATTAAAAATTCAAAATGTATTTAAATTATAAGAATATTATGTATGCAAATGGGTCTTCATAATATCCTACATTCCGAAGTTGTAATAAATACTACATAATTATGCTGTTAAAGTATTTAAACATAATATACCTTTTATTTGGGTTCAAATAATGCATGTATACTATAAAATGCACTAATAATACGATCAGACTTACTTAATATTATGACGTGTCTGTTGCTACTCGCATATTTTTTTTAATCAGATCAAGATGTATTATTTATTGTTAAACGATTATGTTATATTATTATGAAGGATACAACACACTTCTTAATTGCTAGAAAATTGCTAATTATCCTAAACTTATACTTAAAATTCTAACAAATTGGTGGATATATTATATAGTCTATTTTCAATTTTTAGCTTTAGATTAATCCATCTAACATAATAAAGGATTTAATAATAATTAGTGTGTTATAAAAATAAATTGTACTTAGTGCGTTATTGTGAAGTACTATTTAGTATTTTATATACATATTTAGCCGTTTGAAATGTATACAATATATTATTTAAAATCAAGATTATACAATAACAATAGCTTTCAAAGGCAACTTTTGTTATGGATAACAGACTTAAGTCTTAAAGCTTAACTTCTTCAAGGTAATATAAAATGTCATCATTACTTTGGTTCCAACAAAAGAAACGCCATAACAGTTTCCCGACATCTGTCGTTTTGACGAATAAATTTCATAAAAAGTACATTTACAGCTATGGTTTAGTACTAGCAATTACTTTAAGGCGTTTGAAACTTTTTCGTCTTACATCTGACTTCTTTCCCGTCAACAAATGGATTTCTCTCGTTTATAATATTATTATTCTATAAATATTCTAAAATTTTGTAATATGTGTCACATAAATTTAAAAAGCTTTTTATGGTTTCCCGTACGTTCGTAAATAATTATATAAATTACCAATTTAGTTTTTAAAGATTGGACAACTATCTATAATCTGTTGAAAGATATTTTTAAATATGTTTAATACCTATTGGGCATATATTAATGCTTAAAAAAATACTTGGTAAAAAATCGTTGTTAAATAAAAAGTAATATGCATTCACGACTGATTTTTAAGAACAAATATATTATCACTTTATGGGCTAAGGTTAAAATGAATTTACAGTAGATCCTGATTATCATAAGAAGCGATTAAAGGGAAATAGAAGAGGGAAGCAGTATCCACTATTGGACCATTTGGGGGTTTATTAGAGGAACTAACGGTTTAGTAAAACACACGTATAATCAAAAAATTATCAAACTACTTGAATACTCGATCGTCATTTGCTTGTACTACTAAAATCAGCAAAGCAGATATTATCAACTCGTTAAATTTTAGCAAAAATAAACTGAAAAATAATTTTAAAAATGTATCGGTTTTTTTTTTCTATAAATATTATTTACTTAACTTTACACATAGAGGTGTTATTAATGGGTGGCTTCCTTTTCAAGCTATTCAATATTTGTAATATAATTTAGAAAAAAAACGTGTTGTACATATTTTTGTATAGATTGTTTTGTAAAAAAAAAAAATATATTATTTAACTGAAGGCTGCATTTTCGCTTTATATTTTTCTTCGTATGAAAATTCTTTATTTTTTAGTAAGAAGAAAATTTGAAATTATCATATGTTTTGCTCTTGAAAATCAGCATAAATTATACGTGGTGAACAATTTAAATTTAATTCAATTACAGAGTTTTTGCCTGTTGAATTTTAAATATCGCTTTTAGTACGGTTGTGAATTTGCCATTAAAAATGATTTTATTTTCCTAATTTTACTTTTAAGGTATGGATTTCATAACCATTTGCATCAAGTCCATATTTCGTTGTTATTATTTTTAAATATTTTGAAAATAACATGTTTAACCGCCAATTACAAAAAGTCTTTTTATACTTCTCGCTGAACACTATATTGCATTATTTCCTTCAAAAAAAAAATTAAGGAATTGCGATAGGTTTTATCGGTTTACGACGAAAGTCATTATTAACAAAACCAAGTATAAAATTTATTAATTACGGTGCCCGAAGAAATTAAAATAGTGTAACTATTCACTTAGGTACATACTGGATTTGTAGAATATAAACACTTAACAAAACAAGGGTTGCGTGCTAAAAATAGAGGATATCATTAAAAATTAACGGCAACGGTTGTAAACGCGTAAAAGCTCTGTAGAACTTAGAAGTACCCAATAAGATGCATTTTTTATTTTAACGTCAATATTAACAAATATACGTCTAGTTCGGATTTCTTAATTGTTTTTTTCAAATTCTTTTTTTCGTAGTGTAATAACATCAATAAAAATACCCCTGATTATATTGTACCCACGAAACGGTACGCATTTGCTTTTGAGTAGACTTACAAAAGAAAAGTCACCGGCGGTAGCGTCGTCAGCCGATGACACGCGATTTAAACGCTATTCGGAGGACTGGTATTTTTTGGGGACAAAAAGAGTTGGGAGGGGAGGATTGCAAGGAATAGGTGCGTGTTTACTGACCCGGTTGCGCGCTACTACACCACCGCCGGGAGAGGAGAAGTGCCTGCGGTCGAGTATTGTTATTTTACGTTTGTTTTTCCGCTTCCATCACTACAATTATTATTGTACATAAACCTATAAAAATATAATGCGCTAACGGTAACCGCTACATTCGTGGTGTTGGCGGCGGTAGCTAAATGTGCAGAGTGCCGTTCCCTGAAAAAAAAAACGGAAATCGCGCGAAGGGCACACTCTACACGTGGCGCTCGCATCGCGTCGGCGGCCTCATTGATCTGCGGGGGTCGCGATAGACGCTGCGGCGGCCACTAGGGGCGGAGGCGGCGACGGATCCAACGACCGGCTGCCGTCGCCTTCGACCGTCCGGCCGATCATCCAGCTACAGAGTGGCGGCAGCACAAGCGTTGGCGGCCGTCCGTGTGTGTATGGCGCGCGCGTTATAGGCAGCAGCGGCAGCGGCAGCAGCAGCAGCAGCAGCAGCAGCAGGCGGCGGCGGTGGCAGCAAGACAGAGGAGCACCAGCATCCCCATAGCCCCGGCGGTAGTCGTGAGGCGTCGCATCGCGTGTTCGGCTGTCGGTCGTTTAAATGTATTATTAAAACATATGTGCGACGTGCGCACGATCTCTCTTAACTATTGCAGACCATATCATATTATATTATCACGGTCGTCGTCGCCGTCGTCATCCACCTGTAACGAGCGTTTACGGACGATCTGTTTATAACGGCGTTTTGTCCCGTCAATAAACGCTGTGGCCGGTCGCCCGTTTCTGCTCGTCGCCGTCACTGCCGTCCATCGCGTGAACCCGACCATTATGCGATGCCACACGCGCGCCGACCGTCCGTATTGCCGGCGTCCGACGCGTGCAACTGGTGGTGCCGTCTCTGCCTCTGATCGTGTCGTCGTTGCCGCCACAACATGATCTGCACTGAAAGCTAGAACGATCGAGCTATCGCCACTGATAACGTCCACCGCCGGTATTCTGTCGCCAACCTAACCGAACATGTCGTTGTCCGGCAAACTCGTCATCATCCTGTTCCTGTTGATGGTCGTCAAAATAAAAGGTAAGCGATTTTATTTGTATTTTTATCGTTTTAACATAAAAAGGAGGGTTTAAACGATTAAGCTCTTACTACGCGTTTACAGCCAGCCTTCTAATGGTTACACTTGTTCACTGATAAACGATATGTATAGTTTATTTAAATTTATGTATTTTAATTTCATTATCAAAGAAATTAGTATTACATTCTTTAAGTAATAAACAAAATACCTTGATATCAGCAGAGAGTGAGATCCGTTGCAACGCAACTGGTAGACCCAAGCGTTCAACACGTACCGTGTGTGTTTTTCGCTTGATAGCAACGACTACAGCCGTTAAAATTCTGATTTAGAAGTAAAAACCAACGGGAAAACAACGGAAAAATATACACAAAACAAATGTGCATCAATACAGTGTTATTACCGCCATCTGTCTAATATTTATTGTTTGTGCACGCTGACATAACCCTTGAAAACATATTATAAATATATTTTGAGATATTGAGAAAGAATTGTTGATTTTGAACATAATATGATACATTATACATAGTGAGCTGTCACACATAACGGTGCTAATGACATAATACTAATTAATAAACAATGATAAGTGATAACTAACATATCGTCGTTTAATAAGATTTATTAAATAATAATTATACTCTACGGTACAGATATTACATATTTTATTTTTATCAAATATTTTATATATATAAAAATTTATATATATATATTATATATATATATATATATTACTCTACTTTACTGTATAAATTAAGCTGAGGTACCGACGTTCATAAAACCTATAGTCAGCTTTTATTAAAACTTTCTGTTCTCAAATATAACATAATTTATAAATAGGTAAAGTAAAATAAGGTGTAATTTTAATTTTTAACATTAGGATTGACTTTACGCTCCTTAATTAAATTAAATATGTTCACATTTTAACATTACATCTAAGTAAAATACCGCATATGTAGTACAATAAATATTCTAAATTGTATTACTTGTAACAGCTATTAATTACTGCTGTGTAGTCTGTGTATGTAATATGTTATAAATATTATAAGATACATAGATACCTACTTTGTTCTAATGGGCAAACCAGAGTTGATGTGTCTGGATTAAACGTAATCACAAGTTATGAATGATAAATACTCCTAGTATTAAGATTTAAAACGAGGTGACATATATTTTGCTCGGTGATTTATAGGATGTCAGTAGTGTTCACTAGAATAAGAATTATTTTCAGTACCAATGAAAACACAAATTACTTGTTTGCTTTAAGCTCGTTATGGATAATTTATTGAACCTTTTAAATGAGGTTAAAGTTACGATAACCAATAACTTAAATGGCATGTACAAACAACATGTTATATTATACACATAAAGTTTATGAGATCGATTTTTTCTTAAATAAAATATAAAAAATATTTATTTTCTTTTAGTAAGGTTTCTTTTTTACCGGATATTTTTTTCATTAGATGAGAAATACAATTTTATTTTATCCTCCTTGATCAATATTTATAATTTTTAGCGTGAAATCAATGAACCACAACTAAGAGAATTATTATAAATATATATAGTTTTATCTTCACGCTTTTTGATCGTTAGTGTTTTTCACAGTTTTGTTTTATTGCCAATTTACGAGGGCTGGAGGCAACAAGTTTAGTTCCTACGAGTAAAAAAAACTATTAAGTGTGATCAAACATATTACATGTTGTATATTATTCGTAATTTTTAACACTATATTTTATTTCCTGTCTTAAGATGGTAAACAAGCATGCGGATACACCAACAGCCTATAAATAATACATTTACTTTATAATACAAAAATACAAAATTTATTAGGAATACAGCGAAAAAATTTAAATACAGAACTATTAAAATGTTTTGTATGCACTTTGCGTGCTGTGATTAAAGTTTTGATAGATATTAAATTTTATCGTTTTGACACGGCGTTCTGGGTATGCAATATTGATACATTCATGATTGCAGGACTGATAATGTCTACATTTTGTAAATAGTTTTAATTTTTATTCAATATAAACTTGGTGTTAGTTATACTCAACTAATGTGGCACAATTATCACCATTATTATTAATTTTAAAGCTAAAATATGAATTTTATAGAAAGCCCAAAAACTAGACAATAATACAGTTAAATATATTAATTAAGTAACAACATTATTGTATTTTACAGTAATACAACTATAATATCACAGCTCGCTTTATCAAGTTATATAGTGAATGACTAAATACATGTTTGATTGTTTTAAATAAGATTATGTCAGTAATAAAAATTGAGAAAAATATCATCCGGCCATATGTAAACAATTTTTTCTTTAGTTATTTGTCTGTTTTGTTAAAAGTCAGCTCGTAATTTGTAGTGTGAAAACAGGATTTGCGCGAATGAATATTGTAGAGCATCTAATAATATTAAATTCACCATATTTTCTTAGAAAAACAGAGGATAATATTCTAATTTGTATCCTAATTATTTCAATTGTGTAATTTTTAATTGACTGGGAGTAAACTATTTAACGCTTTTTTAACTAACCCGGTTTAAACAATACTGAACAAGAGTTGTAATAAACGCACTTGCGTTTTACACCGAATTTCGCTGGCACACCCCAAAAAAAATTGAATTTTCATTTCAACACAGAAAAAAAGTCCGGGTTTATTAAAAAAATAAAAATATAGTATTTATTTGCAAGATCTGTCATAGTATTTTATTAGAGAAATGTATATTAAGCACCGTTATTTTTTTCATTCTCGTCATATTTCAAGAAAACAAAAATGTATAATATATATGATGAAATATATGTTAATTTATCCAAGGACTAAGTGGAATAAAACTTGGATTACATGACATAAATTTAACATGTATTTACACGTATTTTGTTTGTATAAAAAATTAAATAAATCGTATTTTTTATGCATGGTTAATGCCTTCACAGTAGTTCAACCATGTATTAAACTCTCATATTTCTTAAGTAATTTATTTCGACAGTCTAAAAAATTGTAAATAATAATATAATTATGATGTTTACACAGTTGTATTTTCTTAAATAGTAACAACAGAGAAATGTATTATTTTTGTTTTCTGTTGGTTATTTACGTGCTGTTATGAGTGAGTAATTTCTCGATTTAATCCATTAAATCCGCTATGTCTACAGCATAACCAAATCGCTTTTGACTGTATGAAAATGTGTGAGAACGCCGTACACGTGTTTTTAATTTATAATATACAGCGATACAATATGAACATCATCGCTAGCATGTTGATCCTTTTGCATCACAATGAAATAAGACAGCTTGATAGCAATGTGTGGATTAATAATTATTATACTTAGTGCTTGCAATATTTGATAAAAAGAATATAATAAGATTTTCTAGTCTTTCATCTACTTTAATTAGGAGTGTTTGTTATTTTTTAAATATCGCAATATTATTTTAAGTACTTTGTTAATAAAGTGTAAAACATTTTTGCACTTTATTTAAAAATATTTGTATTAAGGGGCTTGCGCGAGACCTGTTTTATGAGTAAAAATTAAAAACCCTCACACCTCATTGTTTTTTGTTGGTAAAATGAATACTCCTTACAGGGTTCATTGGATTTCTAAAATATGATTTGAAATATGACCAATTTTTACAAGTTTTTTACTCATTTTTTTTCGGTTTTTAGTAACGTCTTTCATGCACACAAAAAATTATGATTGTAATCGGACTATTCTACGAGTTATGGGAGTTTTTCCTGTTAAGTAATTTTATATATTTTTTAGACCATTTAGATTTACGATTTAACCAGAAAATAAATTGTCATGTTTATTCTCAAATATTGCCCTTTAATAAATAGGCACGATCAGGCCCTTTAACTGTGGTATAAACAATGTGTTGTTTTCTTAAAACATTCTTCAGTGATTTTTGCTAGTGTAATACTGTGAATAAAATCAATTTTGTGTAAGGGAAATTGAAAAAAAGAAATACTTTAACGATACGCAGGGTAAAAAGGAGGTCATAAGGTTTGGCATCTAGGAAAGAAAAATTGTTGATTTATAATCCCATCACAATTTCTTTTATTTTTATTATTATTATTATTATTACTATATTTTAGAACTGAAGGTCAAAGTATGTCATTACACAGCTGTCAGACTACAGATTTATATTATGTTCAGTAGTAATTTATAATGTGATAACTAGCACATTTGGTGTATGAAAAATAATATGGATCTGGTAAGTGAAAAGAAATTCACACGGATAGTGACTTCAAAAAAAGAACACGCCAATTCTATTCATAAATTAAATAGATCAATAATACATTTTACTATGGTACTCGACATTTAATTTATTTGCCTTTCTATTTTGAAAATATGCAAAATAGTTTCACAGCATAAATAACTAAGAGTGTATACTATAATATCATAACAGTCATGTTTTTTAGTTAAAAAATAATAATAGATGTCCATAAAAAAATTTTGATCTCATTTTTATCGGCTATTGTATAACAATTATGTAAAGAAATTTTAAAAAGTAAAATAATAAGTTTATCTTTCAGACATATGTTGCGTTAAAATAATTACCCAAAACTAAAAAAATTAAACGACCGAATTAACTGCTCGTGTATAAATTAATTTTTGTAATTAGATTTTAAATCTTATCTTTGATTGTTTCTCACTAACTTTGTCAGTCAAAAGTACGAATTCATAGCCATAAAAAGGAAACTTAGATGTTATACTCGTGTATATAATAATTCATACTCACAGCATACCCAATTAAACTTTTGTATGCTGAAAGTTTTAAAGTTTATTTCGATTTAAACTTGAAAGATCGTTAATTTATACATTATTATCGCTAAACTACAACAAAGTAAAAAAACGTAGGTATGCTTGTAAAACCAATGTGGTCAGATTTGACCACGTCAAATAGATTTATAGCCACTAAACATTCATTTTTGGTATTTAAAACACCAAACAACAATTGAGTTTTCTAATTTGTATTACCTTATATGTATGGTATACACATTAAAT